CCATGTCATATACACATTGGTTGCTCTTAAATATTTAACACCAGGTTACTTGGGTGGGAGGTGGGAAACCCTGGTTTGCAGCGTTTGCCGATTTCTGTGGTGTGAATAACACCCTCGATGATTGCAAACTTCTAAAGGCATACATGTGGAGTTGGAGAGAGATCTCCGGTAGCACATTATCATACAGCATTGCCACCCTGCAGATATGCCAGCTGCAAATAAACTCAAGAACATGAATACAGGTGGCAAAGTAATGAGCATTTATTACCTTTATTTTTAATATCATGTATATAGAATTATAAGTTTATACAAATTTTTTAAACTTTTTTTTAAAGATTTTATTTATTCGCTCTAGAGATAGAGTGAGTAAGCAGGGTGGGAGGGAGCAGAGGGAGAAGGATAAGCAGACTTCCCCCTGAGTACAGAGGCTGGTGTGGGACTCAATCTCATAACCCTGAGATCATGACCTGAGCTGAAATCAAGAGGTGGACACTTAACGGATTCAGCCACTCAGGTGCCCCTGTAAGTTTATATAATTTAATCTTTTTTCTTTTTGAGAGAGACAGGGAGAAGGAGAGAGAGGGAGAGAGAGTGTGAGTGGGGTAAGGAGGGGGAGGGAGAGATTTTTAAGCAGGCTCCACGCTCAGGCTCCATGCCCCAGTGTGGGGCCTGATCTCAGGACCCTGAAATCATGACCCTATAATTAAATCTTTCATAATAGCTGTGTTTAAAAACTGGTTCACAGAATTCCTAGAAATGGAACAATTCGTGCTTGCAAGCTGGTACGAGCAGGCTCCAGTGCATCTCTGTAGGTGCTCCAGAGCTCCGCCAGGGTTTGGCTGAGGCTTTATTGGGCTTGAGTTACAATCTGATTACTCTCTCAGTCCAATCCTGGTTCCTTTCCTTTTTCACAGGCACTGACCCCTTATAATGCCCTGCTATATGGTGAACTGGTTACTGTGCTCTGAATGTTTACAGCCCCCCACATTCAAGTGTTGAAAGCTACCACCCCAATATTGTATTTGGAGGTGGGGCCCTTGGGAGATGATTAGGTCACAAGGGTGGAGCTCTGGAGCACATACAGAGGTGTGCTGGAGCCTGCTTGTGCCACCTCACAAGTGCAAATTGTTCCATTTTTAGGAATTGTGTGAGACCTTAGGAAAGAGACTCCAGAGCGCTCCCTTACCTTTCCCATCCTGTGAGGTGACAGCAAAAGGACAGCTATCTAGGAAACAGGTCCTTACCAGACATCGAATCTGTACCTTGATCTTAAGCTTCCTAGCCTCCAGAATTGTGCGAAATAAATGTGTGTTGTATATAAGCTACTCAGCATATGGTATTTTTGTTGTAGCGGCCTGAATAGACGAAGACACTAGTCTCCTGCCAAGCATCCTTGTGACTTCATCCTTCAAACACCACTCTACCCTTTCGTCCTCTGTCTTTTTCCACTGGCATTTCAGCAATTTGGACTTGTACAAGGCAGATGCCTTTGGCCTATCTACATGCTCCCCAGTCTGGTCAGGCAATGGGAAAACACTCCTGAAACCCACTACAGCAGACATTTATGATGCCCTGCACTCCATCTCCCTGCCCCATAACTCTGATGGACTGGGACTCAGTGTCCACCTCAGAGATGTTGCAGTGAGTCACTCTGTGTTTCTGCCTCAAAGTCTCTGCTAAGGTCCTGGGTGCCTGGTAGTGTGTGCGAGTTAAAGCCCCTAAAACAGTTCAGTTCAGTTCACAGAGAACAGGAGCCAGATGGTAAATGCTCAGCCCCATGCCCTTGCAGTAGACAATTCTGGGAGACCTTTGTGAGCTTCTCAGGGATCTCACTGGTGTTGAGGGCTATTGGTAGAGCAGTAACCTTGATGACACACCTCTATATCGACTCTTCATACTTCCCTATCTCAGTATTTCAATAACAACACTGCTACTTCCCGACTCACCTACTGAAATAATCTCCCTGCATCCAAGTCCTTTTATCAGGTTCTTCTTTGGGGGAGGGATGGAGAAACCTATACAAAGATACATGCTGATAATTTTTTTTCCTCAAAAGAACTCTCTACTCTTCTGTTCACAATTTTTAAAAAAAGATTTTATTTATTTATTTATTTGATAGAGGGAGACAGAATAGCAGGCAGAGGGAGAGGGAGAAGCAGGCTCCCCACTTAGCAGGGAGCCCCTTGCCGGACCCCATCCCAAAACCCAGAGCTAAAACCAAAAGTCAGCTGCCCAACTGACTGAGCCACCCAGGTGCTCCTTCATAATTTCTAAATCTAAGCATAACTAAATGTTAAAATGGGACTTGTTCAGAATAAACTGTTGGGAACTGTCCCAGCTTGGGACCTCTGAGGGGCAGATGCCAAGAAGGATTAGATGTGCAAAGGGATGTTGAGGAAACACCTGTGTATGGTGGTGCAGAAGGGAGGAGGATGTTGGCATGTAAGTGAGGACAGTCTTCAGACTGTGATGCAGGGCTGATGCCTGTGAAAAGATAGAAGAGGGAAAGATTAGGTGGGAAAAGCTTTAGGAATGTAGCAGTATCCTGAGAGAGCCTTGGCAGGGTGATGGGGACTTCTGGAACAGAGGCGGAACATTAAGATCATTCTCTATTAGGCAGAAATGGCTCAGTGCTAGAGCTCCCACTGTGCTCGGCCACGCAGGGGGATGGATGTATGTATGACCTTGGTGCGAGTGCTGTGGTAGATCAGAAGGTGTAATAGCCAGAGGCTGTCAGCTCTACTCTGGAGATATGAATGTCATGCCTCCATGGCTGACACAGAGATGTCTCCACATTTTAAAGATTTAACAAAAATTTTATTTGAGAGAGAGAATGCTCACAAATGGGGAGGAGGGGCAGAGGGAGAGGGAGAAGCCAGCTCTCCGCTGAGATCATGAGTTGATGTGGGACTCCATCCCAGGACCCTGGGATCATGACCTGGGCCAAAGGCAGATGCTCAACTGACTGAGCCACCCAGGCACTGTCCACATTTTAAATAGGGGCATTGCATCATCCTCATGGGATTTACTGAGTAAAGGATCTGCTGTTTAAGGAAAGGGGACAGTGATCCAGAGAGAAAGTTGGCAATGAGAATTATAGGGAGCTGTGAGGGAGCGTGGTGGGGGGAGTAGTCAGCTACTCTATGCAAAGAAAGGCAGCTTCTGGAGAACTACGGGGAGAACTTGGCAGGTTGGGGACGTGCTTGAACCCAGAGATGGCTACTTGAATCCTACATTAGAAGCTTCAAGGAGAGAGACTCATCAGAGCCCATGACCAGCGAAAGGCGGGGAGGTGTGTACTACATGGCAAGTGACCTGTGCTTGTAGTTCAACGGCAAAGTTGTCAAGTGATTTCTGTGGGTCAGCACGGAAGTTAGCTTGGTCAGCCTGCCAGAGCACAGTGACCCCACAGATGGTCTGTGTGTGTAAGACCATCAGAGAAGAGGCTGAGCTGGAAGCTAGGGCCAGCGCGTGGTTCCGGAGAGCTTCCCGGCCTTGCTGTCCTGGCGGAACCGGCCTTCCCAGAGCTGCCTGGGAGGATGCAGAACTAAGAAGGCGAAGAGGTTTCCCTCTCCCATGCAGACTTCTCAGTTCGGGTGGTATCCAGCTGGCAGGTGCTGGGAGGGGAATGGGGAAGGTTTCAGTGGAATGAGACTAAAGTTTTGATTTGGGTTGGGCTGGATTTTTTAACACTGGAGAATCAGCCTGTTTACTAACACTTAACAGCGGCAAGGCAAAGCTGTGAAAACTGTTCTAGATTCTTCCAAAGGGGAAGGGGAGAGCTGATAGAATGATTTCAAAGGACAGTGTGGAAAAAGGTGCTACTTTGCGATCCCTGTCACCAAGTCGTTCAGCTTGTTCAAAAAGCTAACTTGTATAGAACACTATAGGTAACATGGTAGTTTGGAAAAAGACACCCTTAAAAAAACCAAACAAACAAACCGTAAATGGCACAAGGGGCAACATCACGGTTTCATTTTTTTTAATAGTAAACATTTGTTCCACTGCGGTTGAGCCAGAGGAGGAAGTTCTCTGATCTCAGCTGCCTTTTCAAACCTTCCAGGTGCATTCTTAGGGAAGCCGGGAACATTTCAGGTAGGACTGGAAAGGTCTTGGAGAAGTCCTTGCGTCTATTTATGAGAGTGGCCAAGCTCCCTGGAAGCCCGCAGTATCAGGCTCAGAAGCACCGGCTTCTAGAAGGACACACCTGCCTTTTCTGCAGCCATTACCAGAGATTAGCTTTGGGCTCCTTGTGAATCAGGAATCCTACTGCCCGCCCCCCCCCCCCCCCCAAGTTTTTCCCCACTGCCGATCCCAGATTCCTCCTGCTGCCCAGAATTCGAATCTTGTCTGCCTCTTCCGTCCTAAGAGGGAAAACAGCGGATCCCGTTCTCGGACGCCGCCTCGGTCCTACTCCGTCCTTCCCTGGGGCCGCCGGGACCCTCGCGGCCCGGCGCCCCCGCCCCCCGCCCCCCGCCGGCCCCGAGCCGAACGCGGCGCGCACGGAGGCCCCGCGGCCTGCAGAGGGCGCTGCGGCTCCCCGGCGGCGCGGGGCCGGGGCCGGGGCCGGGGCCGGGAGGAGGCGCCCGGGCCCCGGCGTGTGCGTCTCGGGGCGGCCGGGAGGGGGTGCGCGCCTCTGCCGCCCCGCGCCGCCCTCCCGCGCCGGCCCGCTCGCCGCCCCGCGGCTGTCCCCGCCGCCCGCCCCTCGCCAGCGCGGCGCGCTCCGAGCCTCGGGCTTCGCCCCCGCCCCGCCGCCCGTCTTTGTCCGGGCGAGGCGGCCGGAGCCGCGGCGGCCGCGGCGGCCGGGCCGGGCGTGCTGTCGGCGGCGGGCCCCGGGGGCCGGGAAGCGCCCGCCGCGGGGGCGGAGGCCTGGGCGGTGCCCGCGCGAGGTGCGCGCGGGGGCGGGGGCGCGGGCGGGGGCGCGGGCGGGGGCGGGGGCGCGGGCGGCGGGGCCGAGGCGACGGTGCGGGCGAGCGCGCTGCAGGTGCGGGGGCGTCCCCGGCCGCGCCGCCTCCGCCGGCCTCTCTCGGCAAGTTTGTCGGGCCCCCTGCCCCCCGCGGACCTCCGTGGCCGCTCAGCGGAGCCCAGACCTGCCGGTACGTAGAAAACTCGAGCTGGAAGAGGAGGCGGAGGAAGCGGAGGAGGAGGCAAGCGCGGCGGACGCGGCCCGGGATGGAGTCTCCTTGAGGGCAGCGGCGGCGGCTTCGGCGACGCCTTCCTTGGCTCTTCCCACCAGGTGAGCGGCTCCGGGCTCGCGCGGCCCCCCGGGGAGCGCCTGCAGCGGGGCTCGGAGCCGCGCGGGGTTTACCTGGCTCCTCCGTCCGCGCCGCGCTTAGTCGTTCCTGCCCACGCCACCTGCTCGGGCTGAGGTCTGGCAGCGCCTTTGGCGCCTCCGCCGCTGCCAGGTTAAGCGTCCTGTTTCGGGAGGGGGTAGGCGAGCCGACCCGAGTCCTTCCCTCCGCCTCCAGCTTCGGGTGATTTGTCCTGTGTCTTCGTCTCAATTCGGTATGAATGGGTTATTTCCTTTGAGCTTTAGGGTGATAAAGCAGTGAAGCGGTTGCCACATCCATTTTTTTTCCTTCTCATCTGAGCCTGTGCACAGAAGGAATTTCAGGCACAGAAGTGATGCTACTACCGATTCTATTTTAAATACAAACATGGAAAGAAGTGCTCTTGGCAGGGCACCAAAGGCGCCTGTACTCTCTGTTATACAAGTACTTTAAAAAATATTTGCTCATTGGTGAAGTTATGATAGTGATTACCAGAGCATCTGAGGAGAAGGGTTGAAGATAAGTCAAAACTATTCTCAACCCCAACTTTACTTGAAGAGAAGCATGGTCTTAGCTTGAGGGATCCTTTAAGACACTATAGGGAGGGCGCTTCCTTTGAACTCACTAGACAGAATTGCAGAACATTAAAAAATAAAAGAGGTTCTGTAAAGGCTATTGAGAAACTTCGTGGAAAAATTTTGACTACTTATTGATAGAAATAAAAACAGAAGATCCCACAGATCTCTCTGATGGCTTTCAAACTACTGAATGATTTTCTTTTTATATCTGATAGAAACTTAGTAATTATGAGCTATCGGTTATTTTTTTTTAATTTATTTATGATAGTCAGAGAGAGAGAGAGAGAGAGAGAGAGAGAGAGAGAGAGAGAGGCAGAGACACAGGTAGAGGGAGAAGCAGGCTCCATGCAGGGAGCCCGACGTGGGATTCGATCCCGGGTCTCCAGGATCGCGCCCTGGGCCAAAGGCAGGTGCCAAACCGCTGCGCCACCCAGGGATCCCCTGAGCTATTGGTTATTAAAGATCCCTCCTCACTAAAACTTCTTTTATCCCTGGTTATTTTCTTTTCAGGTAAGAAGAAGACAAAAATAGAAAACGTCGGAAATTCTGATGTCTAGGCACCCCCTCTTGTGCCCCCACCTTAGTATTCCTATCTGTTTTTAATTTATATTATCATGGTTTGGGGCGATGCTGAGGCATTTGAAATGTTAAAAGCTCTCTTGCTGATTCTTGTGCAGCCAGGGCTGAGACCCACTGGGGAGCACTGTTCCTTTTAATTTTCTCACCTTTTAGCCCAACATGTGTCTTCAGTGGTGTAAGCTAAATAAAAAAAATAAGTGGTTAAAATTTGGGGGAGGTTATGCCTAGATGGCTCAGTTAGTTAAGCATCTGCCTTTTCTCAGGTCATGATCTCGGGGTGTTGGCATTGAGCCCCACATCAGGTTCCCTGCCCAGCGGGGATTCTGCTTCTCCCTCTTTCTGCTCCTGCTCTCTCTCTCCATCTCCCTCAAATAAATAAAATCTTTTAAAAAATAGGGGGAAAGAAAAACAGTATTGGGAAGATGTGTCGAAGAATTATAGTATGTGCACTTTTGTATTGTATCCAGAGGTCTTCCTTGATTATTTTTTAAGCCTGCAGAAGTCCTTGCTGTTTCTCAGAGACCCATAATTCCAGGTAAAATATGTAGAGGAGTCCTAAGTGGTACATTTCTTTGTGCCGAGGTAATAGTGAAGTTGAGTAGTAGTGTCAGGGTTTTGCTTCTGTGTGCACGAAAAGATAATCCAGTCTTATTTAAAAAATCTAATTAAAAACTTAATGTAGACTAGTAAATTAAATGCAAAAAGCTTTTTATTATTTTTAAGGTTGGAAATAGACCTGGCTTTTGACTCAGGGTTTTCTGTCTACCTTATGTAATTTCAAATATTCAGCTCTTATGGGTGGTTTATGAAGGCTTATGTAAGAACTATGCTTTTTCATACTCTGTTCAACTCCGTGTTTTGGCTATTACATAATTGACACAGTACTAGATTGTTAGAGCCCAAATAGGGGAAGGATGCACAACCCCAGGCCAGCACATGGACTTTTATAATGAATTGTGGCTGCCAAATTAGAGGGAACGGCAGGGATGGAGGTTTGTGAAAGAGAGATAAGAATAGCATCTAGAGGATTGATGTAATAGAACACTGTTAAGCTTAGCGGTTTTCTAGAGATTTTAATGCTGCGCTATAAACCGCTCTAGTCTTTTATTTCTCCCAGCAGAGGCAGATTTACTGGGAAGCTAATGAATCTTAAACTTCAGGGCCCCTCACACAGGTTTCTTCCGAGCCCCTGGAAAGCCACTAGCAATGAGTTCACATGGTCATACCTAATTTTGTGTTTGCATTTTAGATTTTTTAAAAATAAGGATGACACTCTCTCCACCCCCCTGCCTCCCATCATATAAATGTAATGCTCTGCAAACTTGGAATCTCTTCTGGCTCTCAATTATTTTTGAATGTTAAGTTAACTTGTAAAAATGCTTTTTCTCCTTTAACATCTCCTGTCTTCTGAAAAGACAAAATTTGAAATCTGGCCAATGGTGTAGTTGACCTACTGAAAAAGAGCAAAGTGCTATAACCTAGGGCTGTGTGGAGCTACTGAGATCAGGTGGTTACCTGGAGAACCAACTCTTTGCCTTGTGATTTTGCACAAATGGGGCTTTTTTTGGACTTGGGTGTAAGTTGGAGGTGGAGAAAAGCCAGGGGGAGGGGAAGGGAGGAAAGTGGGTTAAAGCCCTTCCACATCTCAGCGGCGGGCTGCTGAGGGGGAGAGAAGAAAAAATTAACTACCAAAGGAGGCTTTGTTAATAAAAAAGTTAATAAGAACAGATAACATCAGCTCCATGAGGAGATCTTTTTGTAAACTCGTTAGGATCTGTCTCTAATATGAATTTTAAACAGAGGGCAAACTCAGGGCTGGAAAATATTCTGTGAGAAACAAGTGCATGTCAGGAGGGACTCACATGAACTGTTGACTTGACCTGTTAGCCTGATTGTGTCCACTGCAGGAATGTTCGAAAGGGGCTTGTTGAGAAGAGGGGAGAATCGTCCCTTTTTCTTTGACATGATTTCTACTTCCTATCTGAATTCAGATGCCTTCAGATCTTATCATCTTCATCCTTTCTCACCAACCCTTATACCCATCCATCCATCCATCCATCCATCCATCCATCCCCCACTCCCCCAAGTGAACTCTCTCTCCTTGACCAAACCTTAGTATGGCTCCTGGGAGGACTCCTCTTGACCTCAGCCTCAGCCTGTAAGAATTGCAACTTTAACAACACTTTTCCCTACCACACCCCCCACCCCCAATACACACACTAAGACACTTGACAAAGTCTAAAATGGCTTCTAGCAGCCTCAGGCATGTTTCTGGGATGACCCAGCCCTCCTTGAGTTCCTGTCTGGAAAAGCCCAAGGCTGCCAAAAGGATTTACCCTTTGTATCAGCCAACACTTGATTGTGGGCCCCTGACTTCCCTTTCATCGAGTGGTTATTAGAAAAACTTAAAATCATCCTTTCTCTGTCCCTCTGAGATGGGGATGTATCTCCTACAGGTCAGGAGTGTCTTTCCCAAAGATCTGAAAGCCATTCCTTTGAATCGATCGTAATCATTAGGGGAGGATAGGGCCTTGGTCTCCCAGTCTCTGGGGGAGCCTGACTTTGAAAGTGCCAGTTAGCAGGCTCAGATGGCCTAATTGTCCTGACATTGAGCAGCCACCCTACCCACCTCCTTGACTTGTTCCCCCTTGACTGCTTGCTTGTTCCCCCTCCTTATTCCCCCATTCTTCTTTTAAGACACCCAGTTACCTCTACATGGATTGAAGGTAAATTCTGTACTGAAGTCTCTTTCCTCTTTTGCAGGATGTACTGAATAAAATCTGTCTCTACTACTCTTAGTGTCCAGCTTTGTTTTTCTTTAAGCCTCCACTACATGCTCTAGAGTCTAGTCTATTTGTGCCAGAAGCTGTTCTAGGCATTAGGTATTACAGAGCAGTGAACAAAACAGGAAAACTGTGCCCCTGAGGAACTCAGAGTACAATGGATAAATTTAAATAAATATTCAGTATATCAGGTAGGGATAGTGCTGCAGAGAAAAGTAGATCCTAAAAGGAATATAGGGCAAGAAATTGCTGTGTCAAGAAGTGTGGTCAGGAAAAAAAGAAAAAAAAAAGAAAAAAAAAAAGAAGGGTGGTCAGGGAAGGTGTTTCTGAGAGGGGACGTTGAGTGGAACCCTAAAGGAGATGGAAGAATGAGCCATATGGATATCTGGGGAGGAGCATTTTGCTCATTGGGGAACAGGTAGCGTAGGGCCCTCAGACCAAAGCTCTACTGGCACATGGGAGAAGCAGCAGGGAGTCTGGTGGTGCAGGCAGTTGTGGGGGATGCTAATCCTAATGGCCAGCGCTTCACCACAACAGCAGCCTACCTCTGTAATTATGCAGTGGTGGTTTCTTGGGTCTACCCTAGGTCATTCCTCTGTAGCAACCTGAGGCTGTGTCAGGCAAGTGATGGTGTTGCTCTTGGGACTCTGGGTGGTGTGGTGGCTTGGGACTGGTTGCAACTGAGCCTCTTAGGGACATGGAATCCAGTCTACACCATTACATGAACTGGGAGTTGGAGGGACATTGTCTTCATTGATGGTTCCTATTGCTTTTGTTATAAGAAAGGGGCCAGTAGGAAAGTTGCTTTTCTGCCTAGGTTCCCTGCAGTCCCCTAGGAACAAATAGAACTGTGCTAAGGATATTGACAATGGGAACCATACTACTGTTTCTTAGGGAATGTGGAAATGTTGAGAATCTAGAGCAACTTCTGAGGTGAAACTGAGCTGGAGAGAACCCTGTGGCTTAAAGGCATCTGGATTTAGTTAGGTTTTGAGGAGGGAGAATTGCTCTTTGGCTGATGAGGCT